AACGCACTGCCAAGTTCAAATACACAAAAGCGCTGCCATCGACTTGGCCAAAAAAAAAAAACAAGTATCAAAATTTCAACCGGGTGTAAGCGACTGGGCCATACTTTGTTTGCAGCTAGTCTGGTTAATGTTGTTCTTGGCGACTCGATGACTAAGCCCAGAACAATAGACGTGGCTAAAACATTTTTGGCTCTTTAGACTACATTATTTATCTGCTTATCTGATTAGGGGCTTGAGGAGGAGTACGTCGTTTCAATGCGAAACGAGTATATATTTTAAGTGTCAAGTCTCTAGCTCTCTAGACGTAGCACAGGACGAATATGCTCCTGTATACTTTATAAACAGAGTATTAAAAACACAACGTAAAAGGTGGGACGCTCGGCAGGATCCAATGCACACGCCTCCGTTAACAATAATTTACGCAACTTTGCGCCTCTTTTGTAAAAAGAAAATAGCTTACAAAAAGCTAGCCTGAAACATGCGCAACCAAGGGGCAACAAAATGCTGCCCAGATGGACGGCAAAAACTCATAGTAAAAGACCATTAAATTATCCAGCGGGAAACATGTGAATGGTGAGGGCGGGGGCACAACAACAATAAATGTACGTGTGTGTGTGTGTGGCACATTTGTCAAATTGCCGAACCACAAGTTGGCAGCTTTAAGAAGCCGTCAACAACAAGAACAATTGCTCAATATTTTATTAGTCTAATTTAATATTTGTTTCATTCGCTTTTTGTTTTTCTTATTTTTATTTTTGTCAGCCCTGGCAGATTGACGAATTCTTGTGGTGGGCCCTCTTTAATATTTATTAAAAGTCATGTGCGTGCCGCCACTCGGGGGAATTACTTGAACTTTTTGACTGAAGCGTGCAAAGCCCAGGCTAAGCATTGCTTCAGTCTGAGGTTTTGCTCTTCTCCTTTTTGCCGACTTTGGGACAGCTTTGTAATATGAGAAATCCATCGCCATCAGCTGTCCGGCTGTCTGCCTGTCCGTCTATCTGTTGTCTGATGACTGCTGTTTCGACGTAATTTTGTACTCACTTTCTACTTGTTGTGTGTGTTTTTTTTTTTGGCGTCACAAAAAAATTTTGCATTTATTACATCGAACGCCTTCATTACATCCACAGCGAACTGACAAGTGACGAGCGTTTTCAGCGTGGGTGTTGCACAGTGGCACAAGCTAGCGCAAACAGTGTGCGAAAATGTTAAGACAATGGAAAATAACAGTTGTGTATAACAGTGGCTTATAACAGTAGTCTACTACAGTGGTGTATAACAGTGGGTTATGACAGCGATTTATAACAGTGGTTTATAACAGTTGTCTACTACAGTGGTGTATAACAGTGGTGTATTACAGTAGTGTATAACAGCTATACGCAAAATATAACCAAATTTTACCAGTTAATGCGTTTTAAAAATAATAAAGACAACTCCCCATGTACCTCATCAATTTCGATAAATAATTGTTTAGATCCCATCAAATTCTTACTTGATACGTAAAGAAGTAATAAATAGAAACCAGAAAATATAAGGGAATAACGTATTTTGGTCTTCTTTTCGGTTTCCGATTATTGCACTTAAACAATAGATAGCATAATCGGATGGATAATATTAAAATTAAAGTTTAAATATGTTAAAAGATATCCAAAAACATAAGAAAGCAAGAAAACAAAAGGACAAAAAGCAGGTTATATAAACTAGAGTAATATGGCCACGCTTAACACTTGAAACCATCCAATAATATGAAATTAAGACGAAGAGTGCTTAAGTTTAAGTAGTCATAGTTTCTTAAAGAGAAATATTTGTTAATATGAAGCATCTGTTTTTCTTCCCTTTTAAATAAGTTAATTTTGAATGCCATGCAACATGCTGAACTCTCAAGCGATATTAATTAAAATTTAAATAATTCAAATTGAAACATTCACATATATACACGTTATATATATATAAATAGATGCATATATAAATTGATGACAATTGCCTTTGGCAAAGCCGCACTTCAATAATGATATAACCAGCTTGTAATTAACAGATTTTCAGACCTTCTGTGGCTCGATAAGTGGGTTTAATGAATTTCATTTACTCCGCAATTGATATCAATGCCTGGGCCTCATTTCACAAATGTCGTTGCATTTTGTGTGTATTGAAGGCCGATTACACTGCAAGAAAAACAGAAAAACAACAACACGAGCTATGTGCAATTTATCCACTGTGTCGCCGTCTGCCCAGCCTCTTTCCAACAGCAAAAGGCGCATTGCATGAGCCTGCCTTTGCCTGTCATTTAGTATGTAAATTGAGATAAATCGTTTCTTGTGTCTGCCACACACCCACACACACCCGCACACACAATAATGTACAGGCATATACATATTATATAGCAACTTATATATGCATGTATAGTATATGTGCATATGTATAGGCAACGTAATATATAAGAAGGCCGTAAGTAAGTAACACGTCCTTATGCCAACAACAAAGGCAACACCAAACACCAACAACAACAACAACAACAACAAGAACAACGACACGAACAACAACGGCAGCGGCAACAGCAACTGTCGCTGATGTATGGCGAGTGCGGCATACGGCGCGTATGAGTTATTTCCTGTACGAAGCCATTTTATTATTAAAAAACCCAGAAGCGTCCGTCAGTTGGAGTGAGATGGCATAACACGAGCCTGGCGAGCGTGACTAGCTTTGATGTTTGACTGAAGGCAGCCATACCATTTGGGGCGTGGCCGCAACTGCAACGGCTGCTGCTGCTGCTGCTGCTGCAACTGCAACGGCTGCTGCTGCTGCTGCAACGTCTGCTGCTGCTGCTGCTGCTGCTGCTGCACGCCACTTGAAGCTTTAAGTGCATAATTGCCTTAATTAGCCACCAAAACGACGTTTGGCTTGGCTGTTGGCTTGCGTGCGAACTGCCAGTGCTTGCAGCGCTCCTTGCAGGCGCTGCCTCAAGGACTCACCTCACACTCGCCTACACTCACACACACACACACTCACATACATACATACATAAGTGTATACACTCAGCGAAAAAAGAAAGGCATTATAGATTCAACTTTGAATGGATGAGATTTCATGCTCTCCAATTATTACGTTCATTACTTTTTCGCATAAGCTAGGAAGCTGAAATGTTCATTGTACTTAGTTATGTTATGTGGTAAAGTTGGGCTTTTGGGAAATCCCACCCGCAAGTGTGAAAACATCGCGAAAAACGTTTGTAGACAACTTTTTAGTTTACCAAACAATTGACCACAAATTAAATATCAATGATCTTTTTTCAAAGTCAATTGAACAAAGGCTCAAGGAGATCCATCAAAGAAATCTATAATTTCTTATTGGAATCGGAACAAAGATTCGTTGGGTGATGTTTCGTCTTCAAATTCATTTAAAAGAAACATTCTTTCTCACTTCAGTATTTCTTTATTTTCAAAAAGACTAGGCTGTTTTAGCATTTGGAAAGTACATTTGCAAAATAGGATTCTTTTCGCATTTGCAGAAACGGTGGCATTTTATTTGGGTACAAGGATATGTTGCCTTTTCTCTGAGTGTATATGTATAATAGCTCTACTCCCTAGCTACCATCAATGTGCTATGGTGCTGCTGCTCTGGCTGCCAAACTGATTAATCGCCCAAACGCTTTGTAAGCACTTTGTATATGCCGTTGCCCCAGCGACCCCATTTAACAGTCCAGCGACCGAAACCGGGCGACCAGCCCTCGCGCCCTCGCACAAATCACAAAAACTACACGAGCTCTTGTAATGCGCTTATAAATTTTGTCTGCACAAATTTTCACCTACACACACACACACACCCACACCCACACACAGTGGGGCAACCAACCCCAAGCCTAAAACCAGTCCCCGTCATCGTATTTCGATGATGGCTTCCTTTTGCAAAGTCACGGGGTGGAGGGAGAGTCTATTGCGTAAAAGCTATCGATTATTTGTATAGTGCTCGTAATGCAACAAATGCAAAACCTGCAAAATTTTCCCATTTTCCCTCAATTTCTTTATTTTATTCCATCTTCTTTTTTGTTGCTGCCGCGTGCCGCACAGTGTTAACAGGCACCTCCATTAAAAGGCCAGAATATTGAGTTTTTTGCTGTACATTTGAAATTCTTGCCAACTTTAAGTATAATTAATTCTTTTTACAATTTAACTTTTTTTTTTGTGAGCTCGACTTTTAAGCTTGATGAAAAACGCAAACAATTTATAATTTCAATTGTTGCCCCAGGTTAAATTTAATGAAATTTATACATGATTGACTTAATTGTTGCAAGTATTCAAAAGAAATGTTTTTACAAATGCATGAGTTTAATATTTTTATTTAATTATAAGGGGACATACCAAGCTTACATTAATTAAAAAAAAAAAAGTGAAAGCATTGGCTTCTAATGTGAGTATTGAAATTAACGCAGTTGTTTGTGTGTTTGACGACAATTTCAATACAAAGCCGCGCAGTTTACCCTCAAGCATTCGCTTTGAATTCGCATGACAGCATTGCATTTGACAAAACAAACGAAATATCAATTTTAATTATTAATAAAATAAGAAAGAAAATAAAAACAGAGATATGTAAAAAACAAAAAAAAAAAAAAAGAATACAGTGAATTTATTCAATAATAATAAACTACTGAAAAATTATTTTAACTTTAAAAATTTGCAGCATTCGCTTTTGCCTTTGAGTGCAACGTCTAGACACCTGCCTTAATACCTCTCGTTCGGCAAACAAACTTGTAAGGAAGCGCTGCTGTTGCTATTTTTGACCACAGATTTTACCCACTTACAGATCGAATTTATCCAATCCCAACTTAGTGTTCGGACAGAACAAGCTCTTATATGTATAGATACATACGTATATATAAATAGATCGCAAGTCAGCAGATCTAGCATGTAGCACAGATAGCAGCTCAGCGAACACACTGAAACTATATTAACTTTCTAAATTTCACTGATTTTTTACTCTATTTCATTCTTTTATCTCTCTCTTTGCAGCTTTAACCTGTGCCTGATCCTGATTGCATTGGTTTCACTGTGCTACAGGTAAGGCTAAATATATATGGACCAATTTAATTTTCACAGCCGTTTCCGTTGCCTATGTGCTTTTCTGTGTGTGTGCGTGTGTGTGTGTGTGTGTGCAGCGATTGCTGCTCTACACACACACACGCACACACCCATATAGGCGCTCGTTTGGTTGCCTATCAATGAATGTTTTTGTGTGTGTGTGTATTATTTTTATTTTTTTGTTTAGGCAGCTGTATATGTGGGTCGGTAATTGCTTTGCAACGAAATAGAGCATAACAAATTTCACGAGGCGTAAGTTTATGCACAGCCCAGCCCGCTTTACAGCCACAAGCCGCAGCTTGAGCCGCCAGAAAATCCGGCCCAAAAAGCTGAAGCTAACAAGTTAGGCCGTTCTAGTCGGGCGTAAACGACCGCCCAATACTCTAGCCAAGGCTGCTAAGCGGATTTCAAGCGATCCGACTCGAACCCGTAGTTCAAATTTAGTTTTTTTTTTTACTACTAACCGAATTTCAAGCTAAATCAAAAAGGAACTATATGTATTTTTTCAATGCAAATTGCTTGAGCTTAGGCCTTAATAATTGCATTAATTTAACCACATTTTGGTAGCTGTCAACTTTTCGCAGCGATCAGTTTTAATTATTGCAACATTTTCGGTAGAACGAGCAATTGTTAATTTAAAACAAAATTCATTTCATTCTAACTTGGTAACTATACAAAAAATTAGGTTTTGAACTTCAGCTTCACGAACCCATCTTTAAAGCAAGCAGTTAGTTGAATATATAAATTATATCAAGTATCATAAAGCATACAAAATATACTCTCTTGTACACTCTGTAAACAGTGTATAAAAAGTGTGCACCCAGTCAACAGTTTGTTAGCGCCGTTTGTGTGTGTGCGGCGGCTAATCGAAGTTTCACTTAGCAAATCAACAAAGTTGTTCGCATTTGTTGTTGTTGTTGTTTTTGTTGTTGTGCACACCTAGGCATGATTAGCATTCCGAGCAAAGCCACAACGACGCAACAATTTGCAAAGTGAATTAACATGCCAGCGTCCACGTAGTTAGCCAAAATCCATGCCCCTTCTCCACCGCCGCACAGCCAAAAAAGGACACCAGTCGCGGCGACATGTTCAACTTTGAATACAGGCATTGACGTCAGAATCAGAACCAGAGCCAGTGTTGGGCAACGAGCTGTTTGGGGAATTGTGCGCGCATTATCTCGTTGCTGCCAGCAGCCCACCCTGCGGGCGTGTGGGCGTGGCAATGTTGGCTAATTGGCCAACGGCAGCACAAAATTATAATTTGCATTTATAATTTTATTGACAATAAAAAGTATTTAATTTTTGGCCCAAAAATCTGATGGCCTCATGCTGCTGAGCTCTCTGCTGCCGCCGCTCTGAGCTCTGAGCTCTTTTGGCACGCTGCGGGCGTCAACCAGTTACCAACAAGTCAACACTTTAACTAATGCTGCTCCTAACGACAACAACAACAACAACAACAACAGCAGCAACAACAAGGACACATTGGGCTAGCAGAGCGCCAGAATTTGTCATGAAAAATTAAAAAACAAACTGAAAATTGCATATTTCGACAGCTTTTCAGGCATTTGCTGACGAGCATAAAAGTGGACAGCGGATGGTTGAGCGACACGGGGCGGGGGCTGGACGGTTTGGGTAACTGAAAGGCTAGAGGAAAACTCGAAAATCCTCTTAATAATTCATAAAACTTTAGAAAACTACTTAACTCTCTCAAACTACTAACTGAATCAAACTAAACTAAAGCAACTGCTGGCGCTGTTGCGATTGGAGACCGGGCAACTAGTTGGGTTTCCTCTGCTCTATGGAGGCCAAGAGCCTGGCGGCAATAAAAAAAAAATACACACACAAAAGAGCACCTATCTAAGGCACGACGAAGATGAAATGCTCTTGTAGATATGTTGCATAGAAATGCGTGCCTTTTCGTTTGCAATTCTCAAATGGTTTTAGCTACAGCTAGCTCAAGGCTTGTAGCGAGTTGCCAACAAGCGACTTTTCTTTTCTTGGGAAGCGGAAATGTTCAATTAACGTCGAGGCAGGAGTGTGTTGCTGACGAAAACGTTGAAACATTAATACACGTTTAAAAATCTTAGGATTAGCTTTCTAAATTTCTGGAAATTAACTCCCATACTTTAAGGTGGTCGTATATGGGATGCATTTTAAATAACTAATCCGTTGATATGAAAATATAGCTATATGCTATAGTGATCCGACATTGATAAGACTTGACACATATAAAAGCAGTACAGCTAAACTAATAAACGCCAAGTTTTGTCAGAAAATGAGAACTTAACGAGGAACTGTAAGTTTTTGTCATACCAGAACTGAACTTTCGACGGAGTATTCCTACTGCACCTTCAATATAATGTACCGATGCAGCCCATTTTGATATATATTCTGCCCGCAATAGACAAGCAAACATATACAACATCTTATCTTATAAATATACACTCTTTGAGTATGAAAAAGTCTCCTAGTATGCGTTACACATGGCATAAGAAAGGGTATTTTAAAAGGGCATAAGAAACCGGCAGAAGAAGTGGGCGTGTCGCTGCTGTTATACAGTTACAGCTAGAGCCTACATCTTCAGCTTTTTAGCTGCTGCGAGATAGAGAGAGAGAGAGCAAGAGAGAGAGAGCGATAGCTGCCCGCCGCTGGGCAGTCGTAAACTTGGCCAAGTTTGTCGCCTTCAGACTCGCAACTGTGGCACACAATGATGAAGTCCGGGCCCGGCAACAGTTCATCATATTTACAGCTTTGTTAAGTTATTTTTGCTGGATCCTCCCCCCTGCCCCACTGAAAAAGCGTTGCATGAAAGATGCATGAATGCTGCCCCTGCAGCCCGCCTCCGACAAATTTAGTTGTACGTATTGTTGAGATTGCCTGTTTAAAAGCTAATTTCGAGCGTGCCAAAAAAAAAGATAAAGAGGATATATTTATATATAAAGCTCGTGTATATGACAAAAGTTGTCGGTCGGCAAGTTTTGCGCCTTTCAATTTCTCTAAACTTAGTTTGAGTTGTCTGCTCTGCGCTCCTCCTGGCTGCTTTTGTAAGTGACAAGCCAAATGGCATGTCTTCAGCTATATGCACTGAAATCTAATGCTGCTTCGTTGTAAGAAAATGGCAGAAACAGCAAGAAAAGCCATGTTCCTATCTACCCGACGGCGCTTAAATACCCTTGCAATTGCAATTGTTTAAACTTATTTTTTGTTAGCCAGAAACTTTGTTTCGGAACATTTGTTTCCCTATCAGCTTCATCAATTACAAAATGTAGTTCTCCGATTTTAACTTTGACCACATGTAAGTTGTTAAAATTTAATCGAAATGTTAAATAAAAAACGTTGACACCTAACAATATCAAGAAGAACCGATTTGCTACTGGAATTGTCACGAACAGCTTGTTCAACAGGTGAAGTCTGCTGAGATTAACATTTTGGAATTAATAGATTCTTTAAAATTCCTCTTGCTAATCATAATGACTGCCTTATGATTGCATGGAATACAAAACAAACGACTTGTTCCCTAGATTTATACCCAATTGCTGCAAAATATCTGATAGTTCTTAAAACTGCGAGCTTTCATATCTCTTATAATTATTTGCTAAATTTTGAGGAAAAAAAAAATGTATCGAACATCTTATCGAAAGTACAAACTATCTGTGTTCTATTACAAAACTAACTGACATATAAATATGTATATCTTTAATTATTCTTTTTCGAGTCGAAAACTAAATTATACTCACGTTTAGTTATTTAGTCGATAAATTATTTGATTGTTCCGCTGACTCGAAATAAACAGAAATAGGTTTTCTGGATTCTCAGATACACTCAACGAAACGTCAGTAATTGCATGATGAAATGGTCATAGCCTCTACAAAAGGGTATTAGAAGTTTCATACCAAAAAATGAGAAACTACTTAACTATAAACTCCATAAACAGAATTCGAAATGAATGTCGCTTTTAGATGGCTTCAGCTGTTGCTGCTGCTGCTCCTGCTGCCTTTGCGCATTGAGCTGCTTCAGCTAATTGGGTCAGTTGGCGGAGGTTGGCCATTGACCAATGCAGTTGCCAGCAATTCGTGCTGTAATTAACTGAAGTCTCCGATGCACACAATTCTAAGGAAATCCAAATCACTCAAGTGAACAGTTGCCAATTAAAGGATTACCCTTTGGTTGCTACCGGCAAATAACAAAAATATATAAGCAGACGAAGATTATTAAGCCTAATTAAAATCAAGTGCAGATAAGATAGTAATTGAATGGTCAAAGATTCAAAATCTTAATTTATAAAATAAAATGGTATAAAAAAAAAGACCTAACAATTGTATATTCAAATCCGAAGCAGAATCTACATTAGAAACTATGATTATTATCAGACAAGAAGTCAAACCATGATCAAAATGATATCAAAAGTAAAACTCGCTTCACTTTTGACAAAGTCTTAAAACTTTGAGGTTGAGCAAATCATTTACTATGAAATCTTAAACTTTACAAAGATGAGATTCGGGCGATTTATAACTTTAAGTCCGGATAAATATGTTATTATTAGAAGAAATGCGACAATAACACAGCTCGTTCCTTCTATTTATATGGCGTGTTTTTATATATTTTAATGTTATTTTTAATTAACTGAAAATCAACCCTTTCACGGCGTCGGCTGCTCTGTAATTATTTGACACATTAAACGTTTTGTGATTTATCCGATGTGAATAAATGAATGCGAACGAGCACAGCCAGGCACAGCCAGGGGGCAAAAGGTGAGCTAGGGCAAAAAAACATAAAAATAAAGGTTTGAAATTTTAATCGCTCCGTTTTTTTTTGCATGCAACCAGGAATCCCAGAGGAAGCATTAGAGAGAGACATAAAAAAAGAAAAAAACAAATAGAAGTGAAAAAACAAAGCCAAATAAAAGTTAAATAAGAAATGCTTGAAAAGTTTTCACACTCTTCCGTTTTGCTGGAATGGAGGAACTGGCTGGTAGCTGCCGGTTGATGATTGTTATCAGAGTTTGACTTGAAGTTAATGTTGTTGTTTCTGCAACATGCTATGCCACATTTCAATACCCTGTTCACAATGTGAAAAGGGGTATGATAGTTTTGAAGATTCATGCGGCTTTGTTTGCTTAGATTCGGTTTCGTTACTTCATATAGATATTCTTGTGTACATTCACATCAGACAAATGGGGGGCAAGGCAACTTAAATCGAAATCTGTGAAAGGTTTAGAAAAAGTAACAATAATTTTTGCGAATAAACAATTCTAAAGAATCGAGACAAAAATATTGAAGCCACGTTTGATCCAAAACTTAATATTTGTCACTGCGTTTGGCTTACAGTTTTAGAGTCATTAAGCCACCCTCCTTAAGTATGATTAAAAACTGTTTTGCCACGTCCACAACTACCCCTTAAAACAGTATAAATTTACTTTAGATTAAACCTTAAGTAACCACAAAGCATTGAGGCTAGTTATCAAATTTTAAGGACGACTACTATTGTTGTCAGATTTGCTTACAGTTTTCAAGTCACTGCATTAGGATTTAAGTCTTAGAGTGTCCCACGACTTTCCCTTAAAATTCCACAAACCTACATTTTCTTACAGTTTAAAAGTCCCTGATTTAGTTTTACAGTCACGAAGCTAACAATAAAACAAACTCTTTTCAATTAACTTCAGTAATGAGACATTGCATACAGAGTATTTCTCAGTCGCCCACACCCGCTTGGCTCGATTTTATTGTTATTTTTTTGAGTGCTTTGTAGTTAATTTGCAAAACGCCAAATGATCCAAAGTTGTGACCAGCTACCGGAGACTGCTTTAGGGTCTTGACCTGAGCCATAAATGTTGTAGGCATTGTTTGTTTGTTTTTCTTCTATTTTGTTTATTTTTCTTTTTTTATTTTCTGCCTACCTTCTGTAATATGCAACACTTAAAAGCCGCTTAATATTCTTCCGCATTGCTTTGGCCGCATTCAGGGGCTGCACCACAGTTCGCTGCGGCCGGGTTATGAACCACCTATAGAAACCCACCGGGTCTAAGGAAATGCAACTAATTTTTGGATAGGCTGCATGCATAAAATTTGCGCACACAACAGCAGCAGCAGCAGCTGCTGTTGGGGCTGGTGCTGGACTGGACTGAAATCCTGTGGGCTCGACCATGTCAAGTAAATGAATATATGAGTATGCTATACGAATAACCGCAGTTCCTCAAAACCAAGTTAACATCCTTTTTGGTTAGCAGCAAAACGGAGGCTGAATAACTATTGTTGTTGTTCTTGTTGTTGCAGTTGCAGCTGCTGCTGCTGCTGCTGCTGCTGCTGCTGTTTGCTTAACACACTTCCACTTTACTCAATGGCCGCTGCAGTGCTTCACACACACACACACACATACACATACTTACATAAGTACGTACACATTCTTACGTATGAATGAGCTATGTAAATTCGAGGTGTACCATATAACTCCAAACAATTAACTTTTTTTTTCCCATCAGTTTTTGAAATAAATGTCCCTCAAAATTAGGGCTCATTTTTCATTTATAACTCTTTTTTATATTATATTATTATTATTATTATATTATTTTTTTCATTAGACAACATTAATTGTACTTTAGTATCGAAAAAAAGTCGAACGGCTTACCCTATTAAGGATATTGGTCTATCTGAAGAACTTTCGATTCTCGTCAATATCGATCTCGAAATTGTAGTTTAGTTAACCAAGTGGAAATAATAAAGGCTTCTTTTGAGATATCGATTTGAATTTCTGCTATAGGTAACCTATTAAAAATGATCAAGACCATCGATATCTCAATCGAAAATGGGTTCTCCAACTAGTAAGCTATACAATATAAATGTTATTAACATATTGAGGGCTTATTGTATCGAAAGAACGTTCCGATATAGTTGGGCCATACAAAATATTCAGTGTTTATGCCAAGGACTATCGCATTTTGCACTATTGCACTATCAAATGAAAAACCAATTGATAAAATACTTCGACTATCAAAAAAAACCATCGACAGTTGCATCGATAAACTTGTAAAGCATACCTCGTTTAACCAAATGTACAAACGTGTGAAAAATGGATGTATCTATGCATCCATGTGCGCATTAGTGTGTGTGTGTGTGT